GAGAGACGTTTAGTAGAATAATCATTCACATAAGTAATAACAACAACAGTCATATCAGTAATGATAACAACAACAATAATACAATAAAAATTACAAGGATAAGAAAAATAGTAATCGTTGTTGTTGTTCGCGATCCAGTAGCATCTGAGCGTTAACTCTTCTGCATGATGCCATTCGGTAATAGTTGCATGTTTGTTCTAATTGTTGTCTTGAGGAGTAGAGGCAATATTAGATGTGTGGGGTAGCTTGGGAAGAAAACATCCCCTTAAATCAGTTAGTTTTCTACAGAAGAACAGATGATGTTCCACTGTCTCTGAGGGGTAGTCACAATAGTAATGGTAATAGTAACTGTATTTATACAGAGCATATCCAAGCTCTGCAACATGCTGTATGTGTTTTGCAATCTGTACCTACCCCCCGACCCTACACACTCAGTAACATTCTTAGTTTCCCGCATCAGCAATCATCTCCGCAGTATGGTGTCTCGGTTTACTTGAGTTAATTAAAAAAAGGAGCACACCCAATAAGATACTGGCCATCTGGTTCAACGAAAGGAAGAATTGTCCACCAGTTGCGTCCTTCAACTGTGATTAATTATGTGCTCGAAAGGTATACTATCTCAAAACTCACCTGAAGAACATCAGAAAAAGCCAAACTCTGACAAGATCGACTCAAATAATTACCGTTCACATTAGTTGCTTATCTTCTCCATAAAGTACCTTCTCCAAACTTGCGGCATTATGTACTATAGAAAAGCAAACCTTTGGCAAATTTAGGAAAATGGCCATTCACATCAATCAATGAGGCCCAGCGCACGCTACAAAAATTTCCTCTTTCCCCTTGGCAGCGAGTATGTGGAAAAGACAGGTTTTGCCCATTTGTCTCTCTTCCCCGTCAAGTGACGTCATACTTCACAGTCGCATGACGAGTGCAAATTTTCCTAGTGTGTGCACAGGGCCTCATGTCCACAATACTCTTGTTTGAGTGCAGAGAATCCCCCAGTCATGCTACCCGGCACTGAGCGCAGGAAAAGAGAAACATAAACACACAGAAAAACTGAGAGAAAGAAAAGAAGCAGGATCTACAACCACTGGGTGGCATGCCACAAAGGCAAATCACTTATTTTTCTGTTCTTTCAACCACTCTCAAAACAAATCTGTTACCCCTATATTTTTCCGTTCTCTTCAAACCATTCTCAAAACAACCAGTCTCTTCAAGCCACACCCCACTCACCTGTAAAAAGTCCATGGCGTTCACACCCATCCCCGGATACCTCTCTTCCAACGGTTCCTGAAATTACAAACAACAAGTCAGTGTCACCATCTCTGCCAAACCATCAGTCATGCTTGTGTTTTCACATGCAAGTTAAGAATCTAACTTCATTTTTCTGCCAACAGAGTTACTTTTGATTCAGCATCATGTTAACAGACAGCAAAACAATTAGACTACATCAACAACAACGATGCCAACAGCAAAGTCCACAACTCTTTCGTCACCACATTTCTTCAAAAACTTGTCATTCAAAATAAAGAGGTGACAAAACAAAAAATTAATTGCAAAAACAACAGCCCTTCAATAAAAAGCTTCTTTTAAAGCTTACCATTCTAAATAACAAGAAAATAAAGAAATAAATTCACAATAACAACCCTTCAGTAATAGATTTCTTCCAATGCTTACCATTTTAAACAGGAAGATGATAAAGAAATAAAAATCACAATAACAACGTCAACCCTTCAGCAAAACATTTTTTCCAATGCTTATTACCATTTTAATATCAAGATAACAAAGTAATAAGATCACTACAACACCAACAATGAAACCAACCCTTTATATGGGGTGCCCACTACAGCTGGATCAGGCCGATCGCCCGACTCGATCGCCTGAAACTGAAAACAAACACGTTTGTTTTTTAGGCGATCGAGTCGGGCGATCGGCTGATCCCGTCCGTAATGGGCACCCCGTATTAGTAACACATTCCTTCCAATGTTTACCATTCTAAATAACAAGAAAAACAAAAAGAAATAATATCACAACAACAACAAGAACAGCAACAGCGACAACAACAACAACGACTACAAAATTAACAACAACAACAGCGACAACAACTACACCAACAACAATGAAACCAACCATTTAGTAACACATTCCTTCCAATGTTTACCATTCTAAATAACAAGAAAAACAAAAAGAAATAATATCACAACAACAACAAGAACAGCAACAGCGACAACAACAACAACGACTACAAAATTAACAACAACAACAGCGACAACAACTACACCAACAACAATGAAACCAACCATTTAGTAACACATTCCTTCCAATGTTTACCATTCTAAATAACAAGAAAAACAAAAAGAAATAATATCACAACAACAACGAGAACAACAATAACGACTACAAAAATAACAACAACAGCGACAACAACAACAACGACTACAAAATTAACAACAACAACAACGACTACAAAATTAACAACAACTACAACGACTACAAAATTAACAACAACAACAGCCACAACAACAACAACAACAACATTAGCACACACTGACCTGAGTGTCTGGTTCGGGAATCTTCATGCCCTTGAAGAAAGCGTTGTTGGAGAAGATCTCGAGGTGCCGAGGTATAAGGTCACCTGTGGCACACACAAACAAAATGAGATGACTGTACATGTTTTACAGCCCCATCAGCACAATTTACATCCTTTAGGAGGTGGGACGCTTCAACCTTGTTTCCCACAGCAAACCCATGCTGAGCAGAACACAGCATCGCAGCAGACAGATAGTAATACATAACAGAGAAACTTTCTCAGGTAGGAATCAAAACCGTGTTTTCTGCATATCTTTGCGAAGGGCCCATCCATAACACCCAAAATACAGGTGGCTTAGTTAGGGTAACTGGAAGCAGCATCCACACAATAACAGCCATTCAGTGCAGGAGTAAATTAAGACAAATAGACGGACGGACGGACGGACGGACGGACGGACGGACGGACGGACGGACGGACGGACAGACAGACAGACAGACAGACAGTATAAAGGGAAAAAAAGAAATAAGTCCTAACAGTGGCACCCTCCGTCTGTCTTCTCAAACCTATGGAGAAACACATTAAAACAAAAAGGTATTCATAGCAGAAACAACAGCAATGTAATGGCAATTAACAGTCATGGATTCACCACAGGACTAAGGATGTCTCTATTGCCATTCATGTACACACACATAATATATACATACACCCACTTATATAAACACCCAAACATGCACACACACCCACAGATGCACACACACACACACATATACATGAAGTAAAACTGATCCAGAAACACACACAAGCATCTGTAATCACAGCACTCATACACATACTCACAACCCCCCCCACAAAACCCACTCACTGTACCTAGTATTTTGTGACTGAGTCAGAACTGGTCCACGTACAGGCATGCTCACACATAAGCACCCACACACTCAAATACGCTAGCGTACACACGCTTACACACACACACACTGAGACACAAACACACACACACAGGTATACCAGCAATGACACTTACATGCACCCCCCCCCCTACACACACTGTACCTAACATATTGTGAATGAGGTAGAACTGGCCCTGGAGCGTTCATGCACACAGATAAGCACTCACACATTCAAGTGCGCTAGCAGCGAGCACTCATACAGGTATATACACACACACACAGGTACACCAACACTCACACAAACACACCCAAACACCCCTGCCCCCACCCTCTCATTAAACCAAGTGTCTTGCAAACAAGGCAAAATGGGTCCAGGTACACACACACACACATGCATCTACACACCAAAGACAAAAGTACACCAGCACACACATACTCATATATATCCCCCCCCAAACAAACAAACAAACAAAAAACACCAACAAAACCCAAACCCCTATTCACTATACCTAGCGTTTTGCGAATGAGGTAGAGCTGGTCCACATCAGAGCGGCCCGGCCAGACCGCCTGTCCTGTGAGGAGTTCGGCAAACACACAGCCGATGGCCCAGACGTCCACGGGCGGGCCATACTGCGTGTCCCCCACCAGGAGCTCCGGGGCTCGGTACCAGCGTGTCGCCACGTAGTCTGTGTACTCCCCGCCCGGACCCGCTGGGGACAACAACACAGCGTGTTAGGACACAGTATATGTTATGTAGCAACGGACACAGTATATAGGATAGGATAGGCTTGATAGGAAAGAAGGAGCAAACCACACCAGAGCACCCACCAACCACCCACAAACAACAGTGTGTCGGGTATCAACATCGTCAAAACAACACAGCACTTGAAGAACAGCATGGAGCACACCTTGTCGTGCCAGTTTATCACACCACATTTTTGGTGGTGTCGTTGTTGTTGTTGACAAGTAGCAGTGCCTACTTTCATTTTGTCAGGATTCTGTTATTGAGGTGTTATTGTGATGGAAGAGGGCTTAGCACCAATACTTCTTGAACCTTTACCGTACAACTGTATTCAGTAACCAGTGCTTACGTCGTGTACCAGTTTTGGAACAGTTATCGTAACTCGTAATGGAGAGCGTTTTTAACTTTTTTCTAGACAACAATCATTAAAGAGAGAATGGAGACCTGTTTCGAGAAGGAAGGGTGGGTAAACTGGAAATATTACTTAGATTACGTGAATTAAGTTGGAGTTTGGCTTCACTCTCAGCACTCAACCCTGCTACACGCTCAGCACTCAACCCTGCATTAGATAGTGCGACCCTCAGATAGCAACGTATGAGCGTGCTAAAAATATATCACGCATTGTCGTGACCCAGCATGCTCGTTTTGCGTGTGTGTTGGCCTAGGGTCTGCAGTTTTTTTTCAAGTGTGTGCCATTATTGGTTCACGACATATGAATAGGGGGTAGGGTAGAAAACGGTAATCAATTTCAAAACTTGAGATCAAAACTTCTTATGGCCATTGTTTTTTTTGGATTGTTTTTTTTTGTAAACATCGTTTCAATGTCGGAAATTGAGTACTTGAGGCATTCTTAGCTGCTCATAGACGTGAAGCTAGCCATAACAGAATGAAATGAAATTTAAAATGCCCTGTACCATTTTTGGTGCATGGTGTACGGTAAAGGTTAAGAAATAGGCTTTCTTTTCTCATTCTTGCTGGTGTTGTCAGGATGTTGTATCTACTGCTACAATGAGCTTTGGCAATTTTTGCTGGCGTTATTGGGATGCTATACCTACACTATATCAAGCTTTTGTTATTTTTCTTGATGTTACTGGGACGCAGCACCTATTCTGTATGAAGCTTTTGTTAATTCTATTGGTATAGTTGAGATTCTTCTACTTACTATTTATTATGTTTTTCTTATTCTCATTGATGTTGTTAATATGGAACAGCGCCTACCACTATAATATTATCAGGCTTCGTTAACCCTATCCGTACGTCGCGTATTACTATTGTATCCATACGATGTGGGGAATTCTGTGCCACCATTTCCAAAGAGGAAATTTACTCGTTAATCCAATCCGTACGCTTTTCATAGCAGTCTGTCAAAATGATTTTTTGAGAAATACTGAAAGTTTCAAAGAGACCTTCGCACTAGAAGTATTCTTAAATGTGAAGAATACAACCCCGGGGGTACAAAATGACCCCGGGGCGTACAGATAGGGTTGAAATATGAGTTGAAATAACATTGGGCCGTTATTATGGAAATCCTTCGTGTCCTGAAACAGTAGCTACCACTGTACCATCAAGCTTTTGGTATTGAATTGTTCTTGTTATGGATTAGTATCTACTTATCTATAATTCTAAACTTTCGTTTAGGAGCTGATGTTGTCAAGGAACAGGACCTACTGTCATAATACCGGGCTTTTGCTACTGAATTGTTGTGACGGAGCTGTTCTTCCTGCTATGATATTAAACCAAAGAGCCCTAGGCTCACAAGGACGAAACCACCCCCCATCCCGGGCTCCCAAGTAAAATTCAAGAAAAACAGGCATGCTATTAGTTTAAAGTTAGTACTCATGCAAAAACACAAATAAAGTAACACAATTATTCCTACCCTACTATCTCTACTACAACTGCTTGATGTGTCAACTTACTGAGCACCCGCGCAAAGCCAAAGTCGCAGAGCTTGACCTGACCATTCCGCGTTATCAAGATGTTCTCCGGCTTCACGTCGCGGTGGATTGTCTGAGGAGGAAAACCACACAGAACTTGACTCCCCGTCCAGGTAGAGGGTTTGTATGTTTGTTTGAGGTAGGGAGAGGCACATTTATGCAACAGTAGCAGTAGATTCGTTTAGTGAGCATAAAGAAAAGTCTTACAAGCCATTACGCAAGCACACACTCATGTATACATACACACTTATAAACACACAGACACTCATAAACAAACTCACACACACACACATATACACACAAATACAAAAACTACAACAAAGAAATTGGCCAGATCAAACGCAAACACTCTGAAAAACAACTTACGTTGTGCTGATGACAGAAGTTGACGGCCAATAACGTCTGGTAAATAATTCTTTGAACCATTTTCTCGGGCACCCTGGAAAAAAAGAAATGAAAGACTTTGTTCCACAAGAGCAATCAACAAAAGTTTTTTGAAAACTCAAAGCCATTTTAGAAGTGAAATACCTTAACTGACATACTGTACATCAATTATTACAAGCTGATTATGTACCTGCAATCACGCCCACATTTCACTTAAATGAATTGATCAGGCAAAAAGCCACGCTGAAAAGAAGTAAAAGAAGAACAGGAGAGCTTGAAATCCCAGTCTTATTTTCTTACCAAAAACGTTTTACTTCTCGATAGACGTTAATTGGATAATTGAGAATACAGGATATCTCTGTCTGAGAACAAAGATTTCGTATCAGTTGGAGATTTATGACACTTGTGACACAAGCAGGTCATATGACGGCTGAAGATTAGAGGCGTCACAAGACAGTAGCATACAAAGAAAAGAACGAAGTGAGATAAAGACGATAGGTATTTGATGGCAAAGAAAGAGCAAAACCACAGCAGCAACCTGCCAAACAACCAAGGAACAAAGATGTCAAGAAATCTCCAAGAAGCAAAAAGAACATCTAGTGCTCACATCTGCAAGGAACTGAAACTTTCCATAATCTACAGAAGTTTTGTCTTTCAGTGAGCTTTGTCTTGTATGAATCAATGTTCTTATGTTGAGACAAAACGTTCATAAGGTTCGAGTACATGCCAACAAAATTCACATAACTTACGTCATAGTGGGAGGCACAACAAACATCTGCAAAGAAATTTCTAGGAGGAATAAAGTTTGTACAGACCATTTAGGACAACTTGTGTATTAAACACAACCACATAAGAATGACAAGCGCAAGAAAAAAAAGCAAGTAAGAAAGACAGAAACAGCTGGTGTGGAGACACATAAGCATGATTTACCAGTGGAGCCCCCCAACCTTCTAACCAGACCTACTTTAAATGAATGAATGAAATTCAGCTATCGATAGTGATCAGTCTTTTGAATGGTAAATAATAATTTAAAAAAACAAAAACATTGTGACTCCAATGCAACACTTAAAATCCCCCCAAAAAGAAGAAAATCAGGATAATAAAAATCACGAAAGTCACTTGAAGTAAGCCACTAGCTCCAAACACGACTTGAATGTCAATGTAACATTTAGTTGAGAAAACCAAAGATCATCTGCCACACTCACCCTCGAGGATAACGATCCAGCTCGTGCAGCACGGTGTGATCTACGTACTCAAACACCAGATGTAAACGCTTCCGGCGTCTGAACACTTCTATCAGGTTGACTAAATTTGGGTGCTTCAATTGCTGTGGAGAATGTACAGGAAGAGATATAAATAGCAGTTTTATCATTTCAACAAGAAGGGCGAAGCTGAGGCAATCCATCTGATGGGAAGACATTAGAGTTCATGAAAGCCCTGTTTTGATTTCAGTAAAGAGAATAACATCAACACAATAATGGCCATTCAGCGTAAGAAAAAGGCAGTGACAAATACACAGATAGAAAGCACAGATGTAGGACCTAAAAATAATGGAATCGAAGAAAACGGTATTTTTCCGCCGCTTTGGCAATTTATTACTAATTTTTTTTTCATTGTTGTCCAATTAAGAACACATTTCTGGGTGGATTTTACTGAAAAACGTTGATTAAAGGCACAAAAAAAGTACGTTTTCAGTTTCCACGGACAATCAAGCTATGGAAAAACCAGACTTTGGCTGCATATTCTCGGTAATTCAACCTTTGAAAGCAGGCTACCCCACCTTCTTCAATCTCAAACATCTTGACTTCTATTCAAGATAGACGGGCATTTTTTTCCTCCGATAGTAAGACAGCTGAACAAGCTTTAAAAAGATACCGATAACTCCACATGCCAAAAATTGATGAGCGCCTGATTCCACCGTGTTGTGACACAAATGATCAAATGAAAAAATGGCAAAAGTTTGGTAATAACTAGATGTCAGCCTTTGAGTGGAGACTACTTGGTTTACCACATTTGACAAGTTCTGTCACCCTTGTTTCGATACATGCATGAAAAAATTACATCAAACAACATGAAACCAAGGCATGTTGAAAAGGCAGTCAGAATTAAGTCAGCACCCTAGTGATAGGCCTAGGTATACGAGAATCATATTGAGAAAGATACAACCCAGCATTTTAAAAACTGAAAAGCCATTTTCGAGACTAGACAAAGTCATATAAAGGACAGGAAAGGAGGGTATAAGACAGGAAAAGTGCCAAGAGGCACACACAGAGAAAACAGATCAGGAGGACTGGGAAAGGTATGAGCTTTTACCTATGCTTTCTAAAGAGCAGAAAAGTGTATCGCTGCTTCCCTTCCATACTGAGCACCATGTATTAGCAACATCAGAAGTCAGAACTAGGCATCGCAAAACAATGACAACAAATAGAAGCCAGAAATGGTACAAACCTTTAACATTCTGATTTCCCTCATGGCGATCTTCTTGATCAAAGGATCTTCCTCTGACTCCACAAATTTCTTAATGGCGACAAGTTGTGAAGTCTCTCGGTTGCGGCATTTGAACACAACGCCGTATGATCCTTCTCCGATTTTGCTGATTCTCTCATACTTGTCCATTTTGTCGGATGTTCCTCCCCCCGCCCCGTTGCCACCATTCCAGTACGGACCTTGCTGCTGCTGGCCTCCTGGTGGCTCCTTTCTAGGGCTGTAAAAGACAAAAATAGCAACATACAATGTCTCCATTATACACAACAAAAACATTTGAAGGGGTGAAATACACAACACGCAAAGCTACATTTTGGAAAAAATCGAGATTCTTTGCTTATAAAAATGCATATTGTTACCGGCTATCAGATGCAGAAAGTGTTTTCGTCCAAAACCCAACACATATTTCATAAAAGCCACCAAAAAATCTTTTTACGCATGTTTAAAGTGCATAGCAGCATTTAAAAAAGCTGCTTTTCTCAAGAGCGCTAAACTGGATGTAGCAGGTTTCACATCTCAGCCCCTGGTTTATTTACCTACAACTTTGCCTGAACTCAACAATAAATAAATGCCAACACTCTTTGTGACTTGACGAGGACTTTAATAATCAATCACAACAAAGACTTTTTTAAAAAAAAGTACCAGGGTACCAAAAAAATAATAGTCCTCATTCAAACCTAGGATAAAGCAGATTATGTCGGAAAATCATAAAGATATTACCAAAGTTATTTCATAATTCTAGATGTGTACCAGTTGCTATGTCAGACAACATGTTGGTAAGGGAGCCAGAGGATAAGATCAGATTTTGAGAATACAGTCATAAATAATAGAGAAAACCATCTCCAGACCCCATAAAGCATTAAAGCTGTCAACTTAAAGACCCACCCTCCTATTATTTATTCTTCTGAAACAGGAAATCATGTCAGTATCAATCGTTTTTTGCTCAATTTTAGACTGATCACCACATGAAACACAACGGATTTAAGCAGAGAATGAAAATGGCAAAGCTGATGACCACCCACGAAGGGATAGAGCAGACAAAGGAAAACTTCTCTCCACAAACTCAAAATGAATCACACCCATAACAGTACTAAGCGTCGTCACAAACACAAGCACAAAATGTGATGGCAGCCCCGGTTCAGACCAAACAGGAAAATAAACATGACCAGTGTACAGAGCACTCTGAGCTGTTCATAAACTCTAATCTTCTATTGTGATTTATGGTATGTGTGCTTCAGAAAGACAATGTAGTCATGGATCATATTTATTACTGCAACAACCGGTCTTCTAGCACGCCACACTTCAGAAATTTCTCGAGCACAGCAAATTCAATAACTTTGGGAAAGCACACCCACAATTGAGTTCAAGTACAATATAAATCAATACAATTGTCAAACAAGCAAATTTGCTTTGGGCTAAAATTAACAAACCCCAAGAAAAAGCAATAAATAAACAATTGTGATAAAAAGGGCAGAAAAATTTATGGACACCATAAAGTATCAAAACTGAGAGAACATGTTATCAGCAAATACCTTAATTATGTGAAGGCCGGCTCTATTTCTCCAAACGCTCAGGATAATAAACTTGAACTCTATTTCTCCGAATGGTTTCCGTTCTCGAGATTTTTTTGTTATTTGCGAATGGAGTGGCCCGCGCGCGTGTGTGTGTGTGAGTGTGCATGAGTGAGTGTGTGTGTTTGTGTGTGTGGTGTGTGTGTGGGCGTGTGTAAGGTGTGAATGGGGGGGGCGTGGAGGGATTTTTTTTTTGTCTTTGCTTTAGGGGTAACTAAATGAAAAATAGGTTACTGCCAAAGTCGAGGAGTAGTCTTTCTTGTTTTCTCGCAGTATCTTTTGAAGGCATTTCAAAGGAAGTATAGTCCCGGAACGTTGCCCCAACCACAGTTGAAGTATCAGAATATTCAGACATCTAAAAATCTCTAGCTCTAGAAATTGAATTCGATGCAAAAAATGCTTCTTCCCTGTCCTCCCAGAATGGCAGAATGAAAGATGACACCAATCTCTCGCAAATAACAAAAAAATCTCGAGAACGGAAACCGTTCGGAGAAATAGAGATCAGGTTTATCTTCCTGAGCGTTCGGAGAAATAGTCATTAATTGTTATTTAATTTTTCACAAGATTAAAATTGATGATAATTTATAGCTTACCAAAACAAACCCCTCTAAGCAATTATAAACACGTTTTATGCATATACTTGGATAAAGACGGGTCCATAATCCAACCTAAATAAAACTATAGGAGCTTGCATAATATAGAGATACCAGACCTATAGGCCCCTACATTATTTCAGCAAACTTTATACGTTTATAATGTACTGCTAGTGATGTGGGCACGGAAAATGGATTTAAGCCTAGTTTGAAAGCAAACACTCAAATTTAACACCCTAATAGAAACTCTCAAGTCTTGAGTTCAGAGAAACCTTATAAGATTTTTGTGTCAAAAAGGAATGAAGGTAGCCTCTATGCACACAAGTTACATTGCCTCCTGTCAACTACTTCATCATCATCAGTAATGATGCCAGACACAGTGTTGCAACGATTACACACAACTCATCAAGCAAATGTAAATTTAGGGTTCCCTGCTTCAGATACTTTTCCACACGACACGGACCTGAAATAAAGATCTTGGGGGTATTTTGATTTTGTCTTTGTTCTATCGAACCAGAATCAGACTGGCATTCTCATCTACTCAAGCAAACTAACAGTAACAGGGGCGAGGGTTGAAGTTTGGGGCATCAGTACACATTCGACAACAAGAGGGGGCTCTTAAAACTTACACGTTGAAAAACAAAAAGTGAACACTTCGGATTAGTCTAAAGAAGAGAACAGAAGGTCCCCCCAGATCATACCTAAGAGACTCATTCATAGTTGAATGGTCGCTGAAGTTATCGATGATGTTGACGCCTGAGGCCAGGAATGCCAAAGATCAATTTCAGAGCAACTTTTTCCTGTGCATTCTTAGTCACTATTCTCGATCACATACGTCCACAGTGTAGCATATACGTTAAACTATCGAAGGAACATCCTGGTGTGTTATTTTCTTATCAAATCATACAATAAAGAGGAAGGAAAACCCTTTCTTCCCAAAAATACTGTTTACACCAACAAGCTCGAATTCTCAATTGTACACATCGCCATCTTGAATTTACATGACTTTCGATTCATACGCAACAATCATTTCAATCAATAACTTTTACCGTTAAAGATGCCCATTGCATTCAAATAATATTTATATTCACACCCACTGAACACTTTCATGAACGTATAAAAGCTCTATTTTAAAAGTTGATACTACATGTTTATAGGACTATTTACTGGTGTTTTAATAACTGTTTATGTAGTGCGATGAAAATACCATGTCAAAGGTCATCCCCCTGACTACTCATGTCACGTGACACAAATACATCGAGTTGGTAATCAATAACCGCCCTTGTGCTGGTAAGATTGAAAGAGTGATTGCCCTTCGTTCTTACAGCTGGCGGAAGAAGTCATTGGGCGAGGGAGGGGGGAGAAGGGAAGGAAGCTCGGAGTGAGAGGCACGTTCGTGTTTCTTTTGACTTAGATCTACTTTGAGTCGTTTGCGCATTGTGTAGGCCTATTGATGACGCCCTGATGGGAACACGGTGATCAGAATTCAGGGTCACGAATCGGTTACATACAGAGAGAGAGAGAGAGA